CAACCGGTATTGTAATAAAATTTTTACACTTGACTTTTACAGTTACTCCTACATTTTGTTTTATATCAAACAATCAACATTACTTATAACTGGTATTTAACGTTATTTTTTTAATTAGTAGACGGTTTGTCCATCGGTTTTTCACGTTTCCGTTGTTGATAAAGAATTATCTTAGAAATAGAAAACTATTAAAAAATGTATAACATTTTGAGTTTTTATTACATTTCAGGTTGTCAACTCAATTGTTATAACTTTTTTGAAAAGTTCAACCGGTTTTGTAATAAAATTGTTACACTTGAATTTTAATGTTACTCCTACTTTTTCCATTATATCAATTAATCAACATTACGTACAACACATCTTTAACGTTATTTCTGATAAGTAGAAAGATTGTTCATCGGTTCTTTCGCTTTCGTTGTTGATGTTATAGAATTATTTTAGAAATAGACAACTTTCAAAAAGTTTTTTACATTTTGCGTTTTTTATTACATTTCAGGTTGTCAACTCTATTGTAATAACTTTTTGGCAGTTCAACCGGTATTGCAATAAAATTTTTACACTTGACTTTTACTGTTTCTCCTACATTTTGCTTAATATCAAACAATCAACATTACTTATAACTGGTATTTAACGATATTTTTTTATTAGTTGATGGTTTGTGCATCGGTTTTTCACGTTTCCGTTGTTGATAAAGAATTATCTTAGAAATAGAAAACTATTAAAAAATTTATAACATTTTGAGTTTTTATAACTTTTCAGGTTGTCAACTCAATCGTAATAACATTTTGGCAGTTCAACCGGTTTTGTAATAATTTTTTTTTCACTTGACTTTTACTATTACTCCTACTTGTTCCTTTACATTAAACAATCAACATTATTACCCCCTCATTTTTTTCGGATGTGTAAATCCCATTGTCCCTTTTGAGTTATTCTTACTGTTAATGCAATTGTACCACGTGACCAAAAATTGTGTACTGGTACAGAGGTAACAGTACTTTTAAACAGTATTAAATCTGGTCACGTGGTCTTTTTTCTAAGAACTAGAATGGCCGCCATTTTTCTCTCGATTCATTCTTATTTTCGACGTTAACCACGATAGAAACACCACAATAATCTCTGGAAAAACTATGACACCCATAAAATTAAGTTGTTTGCACCCTGGAGTTCTTCTCGCGTATTAAATATCTTTTTCTTGAATAGTCAAAAAGTAGACATCCGTTTTCAACGGAAGTAGTTGCAATGAAAATAATTATGTGTCAAACTGGAACATGCAGACGATTTAAGCATGCAACAAAGGATTATTTAACATTTTTTTATCAGCGAAACGTTACAGATATGATGGACAGGCATAGATTATCATCGTTATTTTGTCAAAAACTATGTGAAGAATATTCTGGAAACAAAAGGATAAGATTTCACAGATCATAACCGTATAAATGGGTTGGTGTTTAGTTTTCTAAATAAAACACAGCTTATTGTATGTTTATAACTAGGAGATCACTCGCTTAAAGAATAAAAGGAAAAGAAAACATCTCAAGTAGGCCTACAGTTAAGTTCACCAAAACATTAAAAGGTAAGGAGAGTAAAGTTATTAATACTCTTAGTTTACTTAGTTTATTTTGTTACAGTTAGATTTAGTTGACAATATCAGATCATCACAGTATTTTGTTCGCGGTAATGAAATAAAAACACATGGGTTTGTGAGTAACAGTAAAAATATCACCCCTTGTGAAAATACTGTTAACCTGGGCTACGCCTCGGGTAACAGTATTTTCCTCGGGATGAAATTTTTACTGTTACCTACACAGCCACTTGTCATTAATATATTACTTATAACTGGTATTTAACGTAATTTTTTATCAGTAGATGGTTTGTACATCGAATCTTTCGTTTCCGTTGTTGTTGCTAAAGAATTATTTTAGAAATAGAAAACTAGTAATACATTTATTACATTTTGAGTTTTTATTACATTTCAGGTTGTCTACTGAATTGTTATAACTTTTTGGCAGTTCAACCGGTTTTGTAATAAAATTGTTTTACTGTTACTCCTACATTTTCATTTATATCAAACAATCAATATTTCTTATAACCGATGTTTAACGTTTTTTTTTATTAGTAGTTGGTTTGTTCATCGGTTCTTTCGCTTTCGTTGTTGATGTTAAAGTATTAATTAAGAAATAGACAACCTTCAAAAAGTTTATAACATTTTGTGTTTTTATTACATTTCAGGTTGTCAACCCTATTGTAATAACTTTTTTGCAGTTCAACCGGTTTTGTAATAAAATTTTTACATTTGACTTTTACTGTTTCTCCTACATTTTGTTTTATATCAAACAATCAACATTACTTATAACTGGTATTTAACGTTATTTTTTTATTAGTAGATGGTTTGTGCATCGGTTCTTACGTTTCCGTTGTTGATAAAGAATTATCTTAGAAATAGAAAACTATTAAAAAATGTATAACATTTAGATTTTGTATTACATTTCAGTTTATCTACTGAATTGTAATAACTTTTTGGCAGTTCAACCGGTTTTGTAATAAAATTGTTACACTTGAATTTTAATGTTACTCCTACTTTTTCCATTATATCAATTAATCAACATTACGTATAACACATCTTTAACGTTATTTCTGATAAGTAGAAAGTTTGTTCATCGGTTCTTTCGCTTTCGTTGTTTCGAAAAGTTTATTACATTTCGTGTTTTTGTTACATTTCAGGTTGTCAACTCAATTGTAATAACTTTTTGGCAGTTCAACCGGTATTGTAATAAAACTGTTACACTTAAATTTTACTGTTACTCCTACATTTTCCTTTATATCAAACAATCAACATTACTTATAACTGGTATTTTACATTTTTATTTTATTAATAGATGGTTTTTACATCGGTTCTTTCGTTTCCGTTGTTCTTGTTGGTAAAGAATTATTTAAGGAATAGAAAACTAGTAAAAATTTATTACATTTTGAGTTTTTGTTACATTTCAGGTTGTCTACTGAATTGTAATAACTTTTTGGCAATTCAACCGGTTTTGTAATAAAATTGTTACACTTAACTTTCACTGTTACACCTCCATTTTCATTTATATAAAAAATCAACATTTCTTATAACTGACTGATGTTAAACGTTATATTTTCATTAGTAGTTGGTTTGTTCATCGTTTTTTTCTTTGTTGTTGTTGTTGTTGGAAAAAGACAACTTTCAGAAAGTTTATTACATTTTGAGTTTTATTACATTTCAGGTTGTCAACTCAATTGTAATAACTTTTTTGAAGTTCAATCGGTTTTGTAATAAATTTTCTATACACCAAGCAAGCAAATTTTCTTTATTGCTATTATATCGTAAGTTAAGATGATCTTCAAAAAAAATATATTATTTGGTGGTTGTACAGAATAGAAAATGAAAATGTTACGTATCAGATAGTTTGTTACATTTCACAATGTCATTACGCTTCAGATTGTTTATTTAAGGTACTATATGGACACCTTTTTTCTGGAATTGTATTAAGATTGTTCCATTTGAATGAACGTCATCCTTCCATTATTTATTCATTTTATCAATAAATTAACATTACTGTTACCTTAAAATCAATTTCTCAATGGTATCGTAGGAATAAAATGTATGTCAAGTACTTTAAAGAATGCAGGTTGTCATTAACTTTATGATACCATTTCTGCTCTTCAAATTTGAAATGTATTTTCTTTTAGTTTTAATTCGTTTCCATGTTAAGCTTTATAAAAAATTCTGATGTCCAAATTCCAAGTCCAAATTCGTTTTTTTAAACACCATGTATGTGAAAGACACTTTTCTTGCCACATTTTCTTGAGTTTTGACCGTTTATTACATTTTCGGGTTTTATTACAATTCAGGTTGACTACCTAAATGTAATAATATTTTTGCATCCTAACCAGTTTTGTAATAATTTTATTACAATTCCGGTTTTATTACAATTCAGGTTGTAACAGACCCCTAGAGATCATTAACAACAGTGCAAACGACTTTTATCTAAAGGCTCGATTTGATTTCATCCATTTGTTTTGGGTGTTTTTTTCCATTACTCTTAACTAAAAGACCCCCTATTTTACAGCGACAAAGAATGAATATTTAAAGTAGAGCAGATAATTTTCTTAAGCTTTGCATGGTAAAATGGATTTTATTGAAGAAAAAAATGATAAAAACAACGAAGTTCACTATCCTACTTGTTAACCTTTCTAATTAAAGTGCTCTTTTAAAAACTTTTCTTTGGGAATTAACTAAAAACTGCCAAAATTTGCTAAAATTCTATGAGAAAGATTAATAATATCTGTCATATGTTGCGGTTCGGACCGGAATATCCGTCCCGAGGGGACCCGCCCATTGGGCGGTAACGAGGCTTGCCGAGTTACCGCCCATGGGCGGGTTCCCGAGGGACGGATATTCCGATCCGAACCGCAAACATATGTCAGATATTTTTTCTTGCATATTCTGCCATATTATTTCATATTTAAAATGGTTTACCTCAATGCGATATATGTTCATGAAAATTAAAGTCATTTCATCCATTACTATTTTCTTACAATAGCGTATGAACTTACAACTTAAATAACAACAGTGAAATGACGTCATCATAAGCACATATTTCCCTTCTAAAATGACGTCAATTTAACGCGGTTCATCCATAAAGTGCGGTAAAATGACGTTGTTGTTTGGCACGCGACTCATCTGGAACCCCCCATGCCAGATGAAATTTCCGGCATGGGTAAAACTCACGGAAACGCCAGTCTGCTATGCAAGAATATATTATATCGTCGATTAAGTGAAATGATTTAAAATTTAATCGATTTATGTCCATGTCCCTTTCTTGGATAGATCTGTATTAAACGTTGCATGACGATTGAAAGTGAAGTAACAATAAAAAATGAAAGAAAGAAAAGTATCGGCATGTTGCACGGTGAAATTTTCTGCAAAAAAATGCATTAAAAAGGTCCCGATGGTTGAACTTAATGCATCATTTTTACCCAAGTACAATTAAAATAAATATATCAACATATCGACATAATGCCTGAATAAAATTGATATAAAAACAAACAGAACAATAACGCGGGGCTAACTTGCACTCGGCTCGATTTAGCGGTCGTTGTAGTATAAATAGCTGTAGTAGTTGGGGTACAGGTTTGGCAACATTTCGAAAAATCATCGATGCAATGACTCATAGTACAGTCAGTATATTCATCACCCCAAGGACAACCTGAAATAAACAATAGTCAACAAAACATAATAGCCTGATTTACCTATAATATCTTTTTAAACTCTATAGCAATTTTCAATAACACTAGTTTACATTTCACTTGTAAAGTTTATTCACAACTTGTCGCAAACGCGGCATTAGGATGTGATAAATGGATGATATTTGCTGAGTGTAAGTTCAATACTGAATTTATCGAACGAGTTGAATAAATACGAGTTGAATCCGAGCATATATTTTAATGTGACGATTGTAAGATCTGCTTACATGTATTTGCGTTTAGATGATGTATTGTAATCTTTTTTTCTTCTTTTTTTTTGTGAACAAGGAGCTTTGCTCAAGTCCGAAAAATATAGATAAAATTAATATTTTGTTCTGTAACGTTTATTTATATTGAATGATTATACGAGAATATTTACATTACTTTAAATGAGAGGACACAAATATGGATATAATTTTTATGTAATTATTTCTAATGGTAAACATGTGCAAATATTTTGACGTGACGTCATTTGCATTACATAATCATAGAGTTAAGACGCGCACTAAAACGTTAGCGTTTTACTAATAAAGGCCTGTCAAAAAACCGATTCTTTTTCACTCCGAACGATCTTTAATTTTGGTATATGATAAATAGAATATTAAATTCGTGTAAGTTCATTACTTAATCTATTGAACTCGTTGAATAAAATAAAGTGAATAAAATGATATAATGCTTGCCAGAGGCTAGTTTAATATATAGAGGATATTCAAGTTTTTTTTATATAGAAACTGGAGTGTTATGAAAATAAAAATTTCCTCAGTGGTGGTAGCCACGAGTGAAATATGATGATTATTTTCGTGAACACGAGAATTTCATATGTCACTCGTGGCTGCGCCAACCGTGAAATATACTTTTTGTTACCCATTCGGTGACATGTATTCAGATCTTACACTGAACTAAACAAATGTTCTTTTAATTATATGCAAAGAAACGTTTAAAAAGACATTTTAACCTAATAGTAAATGGAAAGTGTGCCAAATAATAATACAACGTGACGTCATATACGACATCACGTCAGTAAGATTGTTTTCCTCCCACAAGATGAAAATAGGAAAAACTTGAATTATCTGTTTATTATATACATTTTGCTCTTCTGGCATTACAATTTGAAAGACTTTCCCTTGAATTTTGTATTCTGACAGAATTTAGAAAAAAAACGTGTTCCAGCAAGACACCAATAAAAAAACCTGAACATTACTTCACAGTCAAACATATTTTTCACAGTGAAAATATGGAAAATGAAAGGCACATTTTATTTCATCAATATTAAGAGGATATTTTTTCGTTTAAGTGAAATATGGAATATATTTTCACGAAACATGATAAAATGCGAAAAAAATAACCTTTTTATTTAATTTCATTATCAAAGAAAAATGGTTACGCACCCCCTTGCTTGCTACACAACTGCAATTGTACAGCGCGCAGTAATATAATTATTGTCTTGTTTTGCACGCGATATTTAGCGCTAAATTGTGACGTCACATAAACAACTCTAAAAACGTCTGTACAGTGTAAATGACTGAATTAAAGATATTGGTGTTCGGATTAATTTTCTTAGTTAGACCATTTTCTATCATTCTAGATAGTTTTCAAAACGAAATTCAACAAAAAGTTGTTTTGTATTTATCAGATTTTTCGAACAAAATTGCGAAAGAAGTCCATTTAAATAAATATGAGTTTTGACTCCGCCAACTTTCATATTTATATTGCATATAAATTTTTAAAAAATATGAAATATATTTGACTGATATAGCACCATATTTCATGGGTAAAATTAAATAATTCTCAATATTCTCAAGTATATAATAAAATATTATACAACTCGTTCAATAAATTCAGTATTAAACTTATACTTATTCAATTTGATGTTTACAATACGAAGAATGCTGTCACAACACGTCACCTTAGTGAATTAAGAGGTTAACTGTCTTTTAATATCAATTGGAGTTAATCCGTTTCAGCACTAAGGTGATGATACGTTGTGTCAAGTGTTTGAACCTTTTTTTAGAGAATATGTAATCCTATTTTTTTTAGAAAGTTTCAAACACTATTGTTGATTGAGGAACTTTGCAATAACTTTTATACAGACAAGTATCCTACTAATTACAGACATCTTAACATAGCTTAAAACAGTACGTTATAGAAAGGTTAAACGTAAATACAAAATAGGAAAAAAGTGAAATTTGTTTTACCTGGAATATCTAATCGTATATCTTGGCATGTTTTACAGCAAGTTTCTAAGTTACCAGTATTTCGACACAGTTGTAATGACATTCCTACACAATATGACTGTTTATCTCCATAGTCACAATCTAAAAAGAAATAGAGGATATTGAATTAGTGTAGTTTAATACTAATTCTAACACAACCCGTATTTTCCCTATTGAACATAGAAGAACCAAAAGTGTGTGTTATTATGCTATAAAGTCACTGCTTGACGTTCTATATCTAGATTTATCACATAAACCGCGGCGCAGGAGTGTAATAAAGCCATTTAATAAAAACGATATTTCACTAGACGATATTACACTAGTGTAATAACACTTTGACGTCACGTCATTTGCGCTAGAAACATCGCGTTAAAGCGCGCTAATGTGAGCGTTACACTAAAGGCGCGTCAAAAAAAAAGACACTTGATAACAGTTTACCGTTCTTATTTCATATAATAATAATAAGTGATAAAAAGAATATTATATTCGTGTAGATTCAATACTAAATTTATTGAACTCGTTGAATAAAACAATATTATGCTAGCCAATATCATTTTATTCAACTCGTTCAATAAATTTAGTATTAAACCTACACTCATTCAATATCCTCTATATGTGACGTAATCATTATACACGTGACGTAACCACTAAAAAATGTGACGCGCTGAAAATAAGTACGGAAACAAATCAGGCGCAATTTTGCTTAATATCAGGTACAGCAGCATTTATTTGTTGATGTCGTGTTAGAATCGAAATAATATATCCAAATCGGTGATTTTATCGAACATCACTGTTTGTCGTTCGGATGCGCATCATTATATCACTCGGGCTACGTCCTCGGGATATAATTCGTCGCATCCGAACTCCAAACAGTGATGTTATTGAGCGATAAAATCACTGTTTGGGATACATTATTTCTTAAATATATTGAACGAGTTGTATAAAATCATATTATGCGAGCCTCTGGTGAGCAAAATATTGTTTTATTCAACGAGTTCAATACATTTAGTATTGAATCTACACGAATATAATATTTTATTTAATTTTATCCATGAAATATGGTGCTATATCAGTCAAATATATTTCATATTTTTTAAAAATAAATATGAAATAAAAATATGAAAGTGGGCGGAGTTAAAACTCATATTTATTTTAAGGGACTTCTTTCGCCATTTTGTTTGAAAAATCTGATTAAAAAACAACTTTTTGTTGAATTTTGCTTTGAAAACTATCTAGAATGATAGAAAATGGTCTAACTAAGAAAATTAATCCGAACACCAATATCTTAAATTCAGTTATTAACGCTATACAGACGTTTAAACAATTGTTTACGTGACGTCACAATGTAGCGCCAAATATCGCGTGCAAAACAAGACGCAATAATATATTACTGCGCGCTGTACAATTGCAGTTGCGTAGCAAGCAATAGGGTTTGTAACCATTTTTCTTTGATAATGAAATTAAATAAAAAGGTTATTTTTTCGTTTTTCGTGAAATATGGTATATAATATCACTCAACATGATAAAATGCCACATATTTTCACTCGCCGTCCCGGCTCGTGAAAATATGTGGCATTTTATCATGTTGAGTGAAAATATATTCCATATTTCACTCAAACGAAAAAATATCCTCTTACCATTTATCACATATATAAAAAAAGATCAGTAAATTGTTAAAATGAGTAATTTTTTAATCACTCGCCTATAATGCAACGATAACATTAGCGCGCCTTTAATAAGGCTATGTTTCTATATAGCGCAAATGACGTCACGTCAAAGTGTTATTACACTTAGTGTAATATCGTTTTTATTAAATAGAGGATATATGTTTATTTCAGGTAAAATCGGAATATATTTCACCGAGTGAGCACCAAAAGGTATATTTCACGAGTGGCGCAGCCACGAGTGAAATATGAACTTTTTGTGTTCACGAGGTGAAATATAGCGGGTATTTCGATCTTACATTAAACTAAACAAATTTTCTTTTTATTTTATGCAAAGAAAGGTATAAAAAGAAATTTCTGATAAATAGATATCAATGGCGAAAGAAGTCCCTTAAAATAAATATTAGTTTTGACTCCGCCAACTTTCATATTTTATTTCATATTTAAAAAAAAAAAATATGAAATATATTTGACTGATATTAAGAGTTGAGTGAAAATGTATACCATATTTCACGAAAAACGAAAAAATAACCTTTTTATTTAATTTCATTATCAACGAAAAATGGTTACGAACCCCCTTGCTTGCTACGCTACGCGCAATTGTACAGCACGCAGTAATATAAATGCGTCTTGTTTTGCACGCGATATTTGGCGCTACATTGTGACGTCACGTAAACAACTCTTTAAACGTCTTTACAGCGTGACTGAATTAAAGATATTGGTGTTCGCATTTATTTTCTTAGACCATTTTCTATCATTCTAGATAGTTTTCAAACCGAAATTCAACAAAAAAATGTTTTGTATTTATCAGATTTTAAAAAAGAATGGCGAAAGAAGTCCCTTAAAATAAATGTGAGTTTTGACTCCGCCCACTTTCATATTTATATTTCATATTTATTTTTAAAAAATATGAAATATATTTGACTGATATAGCACCATATTTCATGGGTGAAATTAAATAAAGCACCATATTTCATGGGTAAAATTAAATCATAAGACTGAGGATATATTTTTTATTTGAGTGAAATATATACCATATTTAAGGAAAAACGAAATAAATAACCTTTCTTATTTTATTTTATTATCAAAGATAAATGGTTAAAATCCCCTTGCTTGCTTCGCACCTGCAATGGTACAGCGCGCAGTAATATATTAAGTCTTAAACACACGCGATGTTTGGTTGCTACATTGTGACGTCACGTAAACAACTATTTAAACGTCTGCACAGCGTCTATAATGACTGAAATAAAAGATATTGGTGTTCGATTCATTTTCTTAGTTATACCATTTTGTGTGTGTGTTTTTTTTCAATCTGGGTATGCACTGTAGAGGATATTGAATAAGTGTCAGTTTAATACTGAATTTATTGAAAGAGTAGAATAAAATATATAGAGAATATTGAATGTGTGTAAGTTCAATACTGAATTTTGTGAGCTTCTGGCGAAAAAAATCAGTAATGAACTTACACGAATTTAATTGATGCGAAAAAATTAACCACTTAGGCCTACGGCCTTCGTGGTCAATTCCTACGCATCAGAACTCAAAACCGGTGTTAAATAGCAGATATACACCTCTCAGGCCGATGTTATTTCGATTCTATCACGACAAGCAATTATCATAGTATTGCAACTACCGGTTAGAACCCCAGCAACATTCTGAAGGGCCATTGGCCATTCACTTATGTTTCTATTTTAAGTAAATTTGTTTAAAAAGTTCTTTAAAAGTGATCACAGGAAACAGTTTTTATGTACAGACAGACAGACTAAAGGACACTCTAAAGTTATTTTTTTAACATCCCTGTTATCAAAATATAACATTTTTAAAAGCAAAATTTTAAAAAGGAGATAACTCTTGAAAAAGATGCAAGATGTCATACATGATGTGAGTGTAACAAAGAACAATTAGTAATGAAGGTATGAATAATGAATTTTTATTTTGAATTTGAAGTAAATGAAAGTTAAAAGAACGAATAGGAAAAAATAAAAGTTAAAGGAGGAGATCGATTTTTCTGGAAATATGGATGCTAGATTTATAAACCTTGTCATAATTATTACTATGATGTGGGAGTTTGAAGAAAATCCTAACATGATTAAAGAAGTTGGAGTAAAAATTACCAAGTTCAAGTTCAAAAGGGGCTTAATTCTTGAAATAGTCTTGCTAGAGTATTGAACTTTCTCACAAAAGTTGAGTGATAATAAGAAACATTTATATGAAGTAGATACATTCAGAAAAAAAGAAGTTATTAAAAAAAAAAAAAAAACAATATTTTTTCATGAAAATTTTAAGTTCAAGGGAGGTAATTCTGATAAATTTTGTCCTAGAGTTGTAAACCTTGGCACATATGATGTGGTTGATGACTAGCAACTTATATTTAAAGTTTGAAGAAAATACCTTAAGAAATAAAGAACTTATAGTGAAAAAACTTAATAACTAGAATCAGAAATCTTGAAATTCAGTCTATTTGTTGCCATAGCAACCAGAATTTCCAAAATAGGAAGATAAGAAAAAGATGTTCATAATTTCCATACTGCCATCTACCCATATGTCAAATTTCATAAAAATATTTTCAATATTTTTTGCGTTACAGGATCCAGGTTATGTGTAAAATTTGCCATATTTTCAGTCTATTTGTTGCCATAGCAACCACAATTTTCAGTATAGGAAAAAAAGAAAAAGACGTGCATAATCTCCATAATGCCATCTATCCATATATCAAGTTTCATAAAAATATTTTCAGTACTTTTTGCATTACCGTGGGATCCAGGTTATGTGTAAAATTTGCCATATTTTCAGTCTATTTGTTGCCATAGGAACCAGAATTTTCAGCATAGGAAAAAAAGAAAAGAACGTGCATAATCTCCATACTGCCATCTATCCATATATTAAGTTTCATAAAAAATTTTCAGTACTTTTTGCGTTATCGCGGGATCCAGGTTATGTGTAAAATTTGCCATATTTTCAGTCTATTTGTTGCCATAGCAACCAGAATTTTCAACATAGAAAGAAAAGAAAAAGACATGCATAATCTCCATACTGCCATCTATCCATATATCAAGTTTCATTAAAATATTTTCAGTACTTTTTGCGTTATCGCGGGATCCAGTTTTGTGGACGGACGACTGACGGACGGACAGACGGACGGACGGACAGACGGAGGGTAAACCTAAAGTCTCCTCCGGTAAACCGGTACGGGACTAATAAAATAAGGAAGATCACTAACGTTATTTTTTCAAGCGGAAATAACTTCCGGTGCCGATTTTCGTATAACGCTGTTCGATTTTCGCACCCTACTGTTGCAAGGATAAAGAAAATATTAAACAAAATAAATAATATGAAAAAAAAGTTATTTTATCAAGTTTTCACCAATAAAAACGTACGTCGTATTGTGTTTATATCAGTGCCCCATTTATCATTCTGGTATGTATGAAATGACGTCAG